ACCCGGGCTGCCGCAGAGGGAAGCCAGCGACTAACCGCTTGAGCTATGGCACGACCCTAAGGCGCCCTGTAACTTCACTATTATAACTGGGAGGTTTATAATGCTATAAATACTCTGATGTTACTGTTTTCATTACTTTCTTTCATACGTCTGATGTGCTGGTCGTACAACACAGGTTGCAGCAAACAAACTTCTGCTGCAGAAGACAATTAACCAACTGTTATATAATATTAAAATATTTAAAAAACTAAGCATCTGGGAACAACAACAAACTAAATGAGATTTATGATGAAATGACAGTAATAATAAATTCAAGAAACACTTGTTATTATTTGGGTCGAAAGGAGTTCCCCCCTCCCAGCCAATTCACTTTCCAGAACACCAAATATTATGTGTGTGCATATACACAAGACCCATTTTTGCCATGTACAGCTGTGAAATGTGAACTTTTACATGGAGGAAATGTAGTACACCAGAAAAGAAATATTCAAGGAAATATCTGAGCCAAAGAGAACACATTAAGACATTAAACGATGAGAAACTCCATTACATACACAATTTGCCTAGAACTGACTGGATGATGAAATGGAGGAGGTCATTATATGTTGGACATCTAGCTTGGGCAGGGGAAAACGATATCCATACATAATTATGAAGAGGAACACTCTTAGAAAGTAGCCAGATGGAAGACTGAAAAAGAGATGGGAGCATAACATTAACCTGAATATCCAAGAGATGATTGTAAGGCTCAAGAGGGATTAGACCTTGACTCAGGATCATGCCCAATCACAGGCTTCAATGTTACTGTGTTGAAACCTTGAGCTCTAGAACCAATTAGCCTAATTAACTTCTGTTGCAATGCATGTAATATGGCACAGTGACAATGAGTGGTAAACTGTGAAGGAAACAGAAATGACTATAAGCATTACGATATACTATTATGGAATTCAAATGGAAGGAATGAGAAAAATCACCAAAACTCAAAGATAATACAGCTGGTTCCCAGCCAGAATCCAAAACAGATATCTCTCACAAACAGCATGATATGGACATAAGTATTTGGTAAGGTAATCTCCCCAGCCATCTAAACTGTTAAGTTGAATGGCACAGTAGTAACACAACTTTCACGGGTGAGATGCTTACATTTTCCAGAAGGTGCAATGTTGCATATTCTTGTGATCATATTGCAAATTGTACTTTAAGAAATTATTATTTTTAAATGACTTCAAAATCTCATCATAGCTGTATGATTATGTAGAGATCTTCCAAAAAACTATATATAATTTTGCTTACATCCCATTAAGAGTGCATCATATAAAACTTTTGAAATGCAGTTTGCAAATCTTAATGAAACATACTTTATGTTATGTACCAATTTTTGTACAGCTTTGCATTATTATTTTTTTATTGCTAGTGGGGTGGGACTAAGTCCCTCGTGCTGCAGCCATTTCTGGCCTATTGCACCAGCCCCAGATGATAGGTGAGGGTGATTGTGGAGCAATTGGTGGAATGAAGATTGGCAGGGGAAACCGAAGTACTCGGAGAAAACCTGCCCCAGCGCCACCTTGTCCACCACAAATCTCATTTGACCAGACCCAGGATCGAACCCGGACCGTCGCGGTGGGAAGCCAACGACCTACTGCTTGAGCTATGGCGCAGCCGTGCTTTGCATTAAGTAAGGGACATACGCGTAATGTAGTGATATGGATGAACATAAAATTTTCCCGGAAATTTTTGTGTAGACTGGTAATACAGAATTTCATCAAAATCCATATGTTCAATACATTCAGGGATCAAATATACAGACAAGCACCAGAACATGTACAATCTCCCCATCATAATTTCATTTCGTGCATTCTGTGCAAAGAGAACATCAAAATGAAAGGCAGTTCTCAAATTTTACTTTCCATCCATTTATCATTCCACTTTGCACATAATAGTCCTCTGCAGGTGCCATAAAATACCCACAGCTACAATTTTTTTAAGAAGTTACACAGTGAAACAACCTCTAACCAATTCTTTATGGTAGAAAAGGTAAAGTTGTCCCTGCGCTTAACTAATTAAGCACTATGCCATGAAGGCATATGGGGGAGCTGATGTATAGATCACATTTTCTTGACCTTGGCACCTTGACAACCCCCCCCCCCTCTGAGGAAAGAGTTAATGGTACCCATTGGATGAGAGGTTGGGTGGACCCCAGAGCCAGTTTGGACAACTTGGAGAAGGGAAAATTCTTGCCGCCACCAGGACTTGAACTCTGACCCCTTGGTTGTTCAGCCCATAGCCAGTCACTATACTGACTGCACTATCCTGGCTCCTAATTCTTTATGGTATGGACGTGAAACGTGGTCTATGACTAAAAAGGATAAAGTAACATTAAATATGTGGGAAAATACAAAATGTCAAAATACTACGTTAAATGATGCTAGCGTTACTTCCCAGATTATATAGCTGTTACATTCATTTTACTGGTGGAGTAAAATGAAAAACTAGAAGGGTGACGGGAGATCTAATATCAAATCTGCCCACTGGTTTGAAAGTTATAAAGAGGTAGTCAGGCGAACAACCATCCCCATGCACATGGTGCTCACACAAGACCAAATGTTGCAGTGTTTAGCATTCCTACTTCATATAAGGAAGGATGCAGGTTTCAGTCTTATTCTGGAGGGTGACTACAATGGCTGAGGTTATTCATAGCTTTCCACAGTCCCTCTGGGACTTTCATGGGACAGGTGATAACCACTTCATTTCCCATCTTTCCAAATTTGTTATTAATAATTATACAACTATTCATGCTACACAACCTTTGCATTTTAGAAAGCTCCATTAAATAAATTAATAAACATTTCTTTATGAAATAATGAAATAGGCTAAAAACTGACCTTAATAACAGATCCTTCCTTCAATCCTTTAATGTTTTTTAATTCTGCAAAGTTATCAAGTGTATTTCCATCAAGCTGTAGTGAGAAGCAGGTTCGATGACAGGTATCTTCTCGGTCCATTAAGAGCTGGTGAATTTCTTGGACTAATTCCATGCTTGAAACTTGTATGTCAAATTGTTCAGTACCAGGACTCATGATTTTAACTGTAAACCCCAAATCCTGTATTAACACTATCTCCTGGTCATCCTTCTTGTCCTCTTTCTCTTTCTCTTTGGTGGCTTCCACCTCACCTTTTTCCACAATGTTCTCCTCAGACCCATTGTGACCACTGATTACACTACTCACACCTGAACTGTTACTCTCCTGACTTTTGGACACTGATGATGCATCACCACTGTCAGTTGCATAATCACTACCCAATTCATTGGAACTGGGATCCTCTTCATGGCCGTTTGTGGTCAAAATACTGCGTCCATTGGATACAGAATTGTTGGTGGCAATTTCATCATGCCCATTTACCACACCTGTCAATGATTCCTCTTCTGCTTTTTCTACAACCTTCATACTGTCTTCAGACTTACTATCTGCAAGGAAACAATAAATAGTAATATAAAAATCATTTCTAGATAATGTTCAATCAATTTAGTAACCTTACTTGAGATCATGGAATAGATCTGCAAACAAGATTACTATAATATAATAAAATGTAAGTCATTACTAAGAGAAATCAGAAACTAAAATAACAGTACATGACATAGAGACAAAAGCAACTTTGAAATATGGTGGAAAAGCCTGAATACTGAAAGAACAGGCACACCAAAAGATTGAAACAGGCACAAGTGAGATGACTATGATTAATACTGGATACCACAAGACTTCATCATCAATAAAATATAAATATCAGATGAAAATTGCATGTTCCAAATATTAGTAAAATTCACAACTATCAAATGATCAGACCATTACATATCTAAAGAATGGAGATAAAGAGGATAACAAAACAGGCACTGAAATTAAACTATTCAGATGAAGAGAGCCTGGATCCCTGAAGAAGAAAAAAAGGAATGACCCATTATCCCTATTGGCTTTAGGAACAGTGTAATCCCATACAGTCAACGAGTCTGATGAAAATCTGTAAATATTTACACTGTTTCAGTTAGTTAGGAGTTTGCAAAAAAACTGCCTACTCTGCTTAAAGCATAGCTGATCCTCATAAATGCTATCCATTTAAAATTCATAATAAAAGTATGTTTTATAGCTTCCTATATGCTGCCATATTTGTCCATGTGAAAAATAATGTTGGTTATCTTAACTCAGAGTATATGGCAATCAACAGTATATCTGTGAGGATCTGAAAGGAAAATGGAAATGCTATCTCATCATTTGCCTGCCGGGACTGAGGAAAACCGTAAAACCTTCAGTCTGGACAATGAGTACTAACCATTCTACTGCAACTTTCAGTTCCTTGTGCATTCACAATCATGCTTCCATTGAAAACTATATAACCATTCAGTTGAAAAGAGTCGTTAAATCAGACCAACTTCATCACCACTGAATAATACACCTCCACAACCTACACAAAAACTCAATGTTTTGTGTCTCTACTGAGAACAGTAAGGATATCGTTAGCTGGTCACGGTAACCGAGCGGTCTAAGGCATGCACTGTCTTCGCTTGCTCGGAAGCCGGGTTCGTGGGTTCGAATCCCACTCAGGGCATGGATGTTTGTGTGCGTTTTTCTGTGTTTGTGTACAGGTAGAGGCCTTGCGACGAGCTGATCACCCGCCCAAGGAGTCCTACCGAATGTCTAAGATCTAGTAAAACCGAAGTGTAACGGAGAGTATCATGGAGGTAGGCCTAGGCCGAAATGAGGGCTGTAGCGCCAATGAAAAGAAAAGGATATCGTTAAGGTAGGTATTAGATAATCAGGTTTGGTGGATGCCTGTGATAAGCTACATATTACCCACCGTATCTGGTGATTGCAACTGACATTCGAGTATCATAGGAGTGAGGTGCCTAACGGCTGAAACTCCATCGGCGGCCAAACGGGATACCTTGTACTAGGGAGTTCGACCATTGCTGTGTTACGTCAGTGCCCGTGTAAAAACAGGACTTCTCGTTGTGCGATGAGTTTAGAGTTTTACGGTCTGAATTCTATTATGAAATTTACGTTTATCTCATACTGATATTTGTGAGGAAATACTTGCAAATAAGTTACTGCAGTTGTTAATCGTTCGTCTGGGGCAGGCAAGCGAAGTGAGGCAGGTATTACGGTACTGAACTTCCAGTGACTAGTTGGGTGCTTGCTTGGCTCTTCTTTCAGTTTCCGGGGATAGACTTCATGTTAATAATTAGAAGGAAAACTATATAAAAATTATGTGAATGCCAATTGTCTGTGTTCCGGAAACCAGTTATTAAAATAACGAAAGAACGTGACCGTTGAGGAAATGAGAGTACACACATGTACGTGTCGATGAAGCAACGAACAAGTGTTTTGTTATTGAAAAATAGAAGAAATGAACAAAAATGATCTCAAACCCATCCGCGATCTTAATTATCGTCAAATAATTTACTTAGTTTCGTGTATGACGTAACACCAGCGTTTAGACACGTGAATGTGCTAGGAAGTAACTTTCTGTGTTGTATCATCATCATCATCATCATCAGTAATCTGTGAAGACGACAGGTCCACAGTCTCTTCCAAAACAATTCCTCCATTTAATGCGATCCAGAGCTTTCTCCTTCAAATGACAGTATCCTCTTCTGTCCCCAAGGTCATCCAGCATCTTCTTACGTCTTCTTCCTCGTCTTCTTGTCACTTCTATCCGCCCCTCTATCTTTCCTTCGATAACTTCTTTTAGAAGGCAGTTTCTGCGTAAAACATGACCAATCCAATTAGCCTTCCGTTTTCTTATTTCGTGTAGGATATTCCTCTGCTCACTGACTCTAATTAACACTTCTTCATTTCTCACATAATCGGTCCAACTGATCTTCTCCATCCTTCTCCAACACCACATTTCGAAACTTTCCAGATGTTTCTGATCTACTGCCCTAAGTGTCCATGTTTCAGCCCCATACAGAGCTATGCTCCAAATGTAGCATTTCACTAGTTTCTTCCTCAAATTTAAGTCCAATTTGCTGGTAAAAAGATTCTTCTTCTTGCTAAATGCAGCTTTTGCCATGGCAATCCTGGATTTAATTTCACAAGTACACCTTCCATCATCTGTTAACAAGCTACCCAAATATTTAAAACATTTCACATTCTCCAGTTGTTTTTGGTCTATCTTTATTGTGACTGGGGTTGGTTGTCTCGAAATTTTCATTACTTTTGTTTTCTCCACATTCATTTCCATGCCATAGCACCTTCCAATTTCAATTAGTCTATCAATCATGCCCTGTAGCACAGTTTCTTCCTTAGCCATTAACACAAGGTCATCTGCATATTTCAGTTTGAATAATTTGCCCTCCTACTTTGAAGTGTTGTGCCGGTACAAAAATGCCGCTTCTTCATTTGTACATATACACATGCCATATCTTTTCCGCCACTGCATATTGTACTATTCCAGGAACCAAACAGGTCATCCACACTCATCTCCTGCATAACTTAACGCTATGCCAGGTTTTGAGAGAACGTCTGTTCTGCGATCCGCTTCTGGTTTTCAGTCAAGGGATAACACGGTTATTTATTTATTTATTTATTTTTGTTCGTTCTACGCGTACTAGCTACTTAACAAACTTCGCGGAAGTGCGATTAACATCTGAGCTTCATACATGTGAGGTCTCAGGTTGAGATCTAGGCTCGGAAACCGCCTTACCTGAGGTTTCCTTGCTTTACCCCAGTCCGTAAGGCAAATGCCAGAATAGCACATCAAATCAGACAGCCTCTCCCTTCCACACATTTTCCAGTGCATTGTTCACTGACAGTTCTGTCACTGGACGCAATGTAATCTGAGCTGCTGAAAGCGTCGTTAAATAAACCAGGATTGAATAAATTAATGATAAGTACACGCCAGATGTCAGCAGTTCCGTGGTGACAGTGGGAACGGCAAATAGACCGTGTAGCGTTGACATTTTGGATGACAGTTCTTTCGATCGAAGGTTCGTCTGCGAACGTGTAGGGGCTGGGAGTTGTGTGTATTTGTTGGATGAACTGAAATTGTTACCGTAGACAAATATAACGCTGTTTTCCTCCCCCCCATAAAGAATGTCGCATACAAGTTTGCGCCAATCACGGTTATGTTCTGAGGACAAAGCTCTAGATCGCATTAAGTGGAGGAACTGTTTTGGAAGAGACTGTGGACCTGTCGTCTGACAGATTACTGATGAATGAATGAATGAATGAATTATGAAATAAAGAAGATATTATACTACTCTCATCATTTTGTTTTAAACAAGGCTGGAAAAATATGAAGTGCTGCCGCTTTGCTTTCCCATTCGTTATGAGATGTGGGTCATCCACATACTGGAACAGTCAATTTTTGTTTTTGTTTGTATCGGATGTATCTAACTGATGTAGACCTAGGATGTGGGGAACTAATGATGGCACAACCTCGTTCCCATAATAGATGGAGCACACCTTCTCACGAAAGAGTTAGTTCGCGCAATCCTAAATTCAAAACACTTTCCACGATTTCATAGTCCTTACTACCGTCGCAGCTCTTTCATAATCGAATACACATAATTATTACAACATTTCGACATGCTCGGCGAACAAACAAACGGATCACGAAGAAGAAATAAGTCCTGTTGTAATTCTGTTACCCACTGGATAGACCCACTGCTGATAAACAGCCAATGGGAGTTCGGTTTCACAGCTTGTTTGTCTGACGGATTCAATGCAGAAGAAGCTAGGTGTACACAACCTATTCTGAGTATGCTGTAAGACAGTTACACCGAATCAACAACAGTTTCAACATGCCCTAGTCTATTCTGGAATGGCTTTACTTTCTTCCTTTGGTTTCAAAATGAAACTGAAGATTCAGAATTTCTGGACTGTCACAGCCTGTGCTAAGAAATTCGAACTAACCCCAATAGAAAAAGTAGCACGGCAAACGAAACAATTTATTTGCACTACGCGAATAAAATGAAGACAGTGTCTCTCAGTGCGGATCGCACTGGCCCCGCGGTCTAAGGCAGCGGTTCTCAACCTATGTGAGACCGCAGCCCGGTTAATTCTTTTCTTTTTATAAGACGAGGGCCCGGTAACGGGTCTTGGCCCGGCAGTTGAGAAACTCTGGTCTAAAGCATGAACTGTTTTCGCCCGCTCAAATACTGGGATCGTGGGTTCTAATGTTTGTGTGCGTCTGTGTTTTGTGCGTAGGTAGCAGTCTTGCGACGGGCTCATCCCCCGTCTAAAGAGTCCTACCGACTGTGTAAAGAGATCGGGAAATTGAAAAAGCGGCCAAGGTCCAACGAAAGGTCTGCAGAGCCATAGACAGACTGATAGTGTCTCTCAATCTGAATGCCTGCTCCATTATTTCGCCTCCGAAAGTAATAAAGCTATAAATTAACGTTGGTATTGGGAGTCCATCGAGAGTTGTAGGGCGAGTTTAATTCTGTATCTCCACAATATTTCCCATGCGTTA